TGTAGCCAACCAAAGGTGCACATTTTCAGCTGACCCCTTTGGCAAGTAATGACGATCATTTTGGAAAACGAATGTTTTCTCATCGGTAAAGTGAAGAAGCGATTTGAACGAAACCCGCGTCGCAGTGGCCGAAAAATGTCTCGTGAGCCGAACATATCACAATATTCCCTTCGGCAAATATTGAAAAATGAGTTCAGTGTAAAGCCATTGAAATTCCAAAGAATGCAAGAAGTTACACCGCAACAGAAAGAAAATAGACTCAAAAGAGCTAAAGAGTTGCTTCACTTGGCCGAAAGTGATGAACTGCCGAATTTGGTTTTCTCTGATGAGAAAACATTCGTTACCCAGCAAATTTTAAAGAAACAAAATGGTCGTGTTTACTTGCCAAAGAGCTCAGCTGAAAATGTGCACCTTTGGTCTGGAGTATATTGGAAAGCAAAGTTTGCACTTAAAATATCAAAGTGTCATAAACCTGAAGCAAGCGCTTCGCCGAGAATGGGCCAAAATACCCCAGAGCAACATTCGGGCAGCATGTGATGGTTTCATTGGCCGTTGGAAGGCCAATGACCAAAGGTGACCAACTCGAACAAATCTAAACTTATTTTAAAATTTGATGCTATTTCCGGCATTTTTTGCCTTCATTCAATAAAATTAAAAAAAAAATTGTAAGAATTAAGTCGTTTAACATTGTTGCAGTTTTTTATCTCACTCTGTAGATGTAATCTCACCATGTAATCTTTTCACAATTTCAAACCCAATCACGAGTAACTTGAGATTTTGAGTTTTGTGCAAATAGAATCTCCCCCTGCAAAATTTTCTGGAGATACTTTCACTATTATGTATAGACAATATATAACGGCACTTCTACATTTTAGGCATTTTGAGAGTCTCACCCTGCAAAATTTTGTGAAGAGAAGACCACAAATATATGTAGGGCCTATATAGCGGTACTTCCTTATTTCAATTATTTTGATGGTTTCAGAGTTTTTACAAACTTTATTTGGTATTTTGTTTCTTAGTGGATAGAAACTTCAAAATATAGGACCTCCGCATATGACTAGGATCATCACTATACCGAATATCGGTCTATGTATCAAATACCGAACAGTTGTATGGAAATCGTTGACCAATATGTAGGACCCATTATAAAGTACAAAGTCATAATTTCACAAAAATCTATTATCTATATAGGTTTAAATCGTCAAAATACCGAACATCCGAAGGTACCGTTATATGTGCGCTATATGGAAAGCGTAGACCTAAATATTCAATGTTTTGCCACCGGAACTACAAATACCAAGTTTTACATTAATCCGTGGAAAAATGTGGCTAAAACCATAAAAATACCGAGTATTGGGAGGATATATGAAAAAGTGGACCTATATATCTAATTTTTAATACCAACCATCCTGGACACAATACAAAGTACCGTGTCAAAATTTAAAGCTGTACTCAAAAACTCAAATTATAAAGCGTTCGAATTATAACTGCCCTAAAAGCCATAACATGCATGGAAAAACGATCATGGCTGGTATGATCTACTTTACAAATATTCCAAATATTACTAAATATGCATAGTGGTGTAGGGTATCATATGGTCGACCTCGATTGACTTTTGACCTTGTCGCCACCAATGCTTAAAATTCTTATTATTATCTTATTATTAAAATTCTTATTATCATATTATTTATTAATCTTAGAAAAGGACAAAATGTCAGACTGTATACCTTATTACTAATACAAGTTAAAACATGTAAGCAAAGGCTGTAGACATACGAAGCCGACCATGTGGTACCCTACAACATGGTTCATTTTGGTTGTTTTTGTTTTTGAAAAAATGTCATACAGCCCTGCACAAATCTTAACTTTGTTTTTTGACCAGGGCATTTGCCCCTCTCTGTCGTGCTGATTGGTATTCAAAAAATCTCATATAAAAGTTGACGTCTATTATACCCTCTGAATATAATGCAATGGTCATTAAAATGTTAGACTTCTGTGTCGATTGGTTTATAATTGTGACCCTTAGAGCGACTGCAAAATCAGGAAAACTTTAATTTTTGGTCCATTTGAACTCTTAAATATGCATCTTCTAAACAACAGGCTTTTATTTTGACTCTAACCCCACCTTCATGCAAAATGTCGTGAGGTTCGGACTATAATTGCGACCTGAATAAAGTGCTCCCAACACATAATAAAACAAGTAAGCAAAGGCTACAGTCGACAAAATATTGTGACATAGTTCTCTAATTTTCGAATAATAGCAACTTAAACTAATTTGCTAATTTCCAATTTATTGGTAGATGTTGCACGTAAATGGTCTTCCTACATCAGGAACCAATATTTCCCAAAGACTTATAATCTCTCAGAAGTGGCAAAAGATTAACATTTATTATTGGTTTTGACTGAAACGCATGGGATACAGACATTTGACTATATTCTTCAACGACTACTATATTCTTCAACGAAATCAGCGTTAACGAAATAGTCAGAAGTGCGTCTTTCCTGTATTTGTGAATTCTCCAAAAAGTCACTGGAATGGACATTTTCGTATTTTGTCTACAAAAGTTGGCAAACTATTTCGCACATTGAATATTTTTGAATGGCCATCCAAAACTGCTTGGCTTTTGCAATGACCGGCAACCCCCATTCAAATGTACGTGAGGATCGGGCGATAATTACGACCTGCTGACAATTTTGCAGTTCTGTTGGTCCATCTCAACCTCCAAATATATGGCGATCATCTCCAAACAGAGTAGGCTTCTATTCTGATCATCATCTTATCCCCATGCAAAATTTCGTTAGGATCAAGCCATAAATGCGATCTGTATATGATATCCTGATATCCTAACTACTTAGTTTTGTTAGCTGTAGAAATATTACCAAATGTTTAATTCAAAATGAAAATATGTCAAAAATATGACAAAATTGAAAAAATATGAGAAAATTTTACAAAATCAATATTTTCATCTTTAGAGAGATATTTTTATGCGATTTTTTTTAGACGTTTTTTCTTTCCTGCCAAAAGACCATTCTGAATTAATGAGAACTGTCGAAATCAGTTCAGCCGTTCTCGACATATAAGAGATCTTTCAAGCATATCTTCTTTGATAGACATATATATCGTACATATTTTGCTATATATCCGTTTTTTTGGATGTAAACATCGAAGTAAAGATCAGAAGTAACCTAGTCATGGCTTTGTGATTTCGCCGGGATTTAAAATAATCACGGTGTAATGAAAAATTTTGAATTTTTTCAACACAAAATATATGGTCTACTTTACCCGCTAAACATTATCCGATGACCACCCAATTTGGTAGGCTTCTTCCCCGCCCTAAACTCTAGCTACGTGCGAAATTCCGCGTCGATTGGTTTATAATTGGAAATAGGCTTCTATTCTGACCCTAACCCCACCTTCGTGCAAAATTTCGTTAAGATCGGACCATAATTGCGACCTGTGATTACATATTAACATGGACAGACGGACAGACGGTCAGACGGACATACATAGCTGGATCGACTCAGCTCGGCGAGCTAGGAAGAACCATATACTTTAATATATGGGAAACCAATATTTCGAGGTGTTACATAAACTCTGGCCCAATCAAACTTATAATATCCCCAACACATCGTGTTGTAGGGTATAAAAATCAACGTTGCAAGTCAAATATGAATATCGCGTGCAATAAAAAGATTGACAAAAAATACTTATAGATTTTATCCTATGTAACAACAGGCCATCCCGAATCAGCAAAATTTGCTGCTTTTGATCTATTTCAACACCTAAATATAATATTGGGACCTGTAGCGTGCAAACTTTATCCGAATTCACGTTTATTGTGCACCAAATGGCTAATATAGAGCTCGAAAATATCTCTACCAAATTATATCAAGATCGGTTCTGAATTGTTGATAGCTTCCATAAATTTTTTCATCCAATTTTACGGTTACTAATTACCATACGCTTATAACTCACGAACAGCTGATCTGATTTTAACCAAATTCGGAATTGTCTCTTGGCAAAAAAGCATAAAATCCAAAAAATCGCGTAAAAATGATGAATTTTAAAACTTTTCAGTTTGACTTTTGGAATGTACAATGGTTATGTTTTATTTTGTATATTTTTTTTTTTCATTTTGACTTACTAAACAATCGACACGCCTGAAAAGAGAGCTAAGGACTGGGAAGAATTCTAGAATTTTGGATGATTGGATTATATTTAGCTGTAAAATGGACCACAACAACTAACAGCACGACGGAGTGCATAAATATTGGGCAAATGTCCCTGGTCAAAATGCTAAGAGTAATATCTGGACAGTGCTCCATGACATAATTTCCCAAAATGGATTTGGACATAAGGGGGCTTCTAACATATTGTGTTGTAGGGTATCAAATGGTCGGCACCGCACGACTATAGCCTTTGCTTACTTGTTTATTTCTGGAACTCTACTAAATAAGTGGTGTAGGGTATCATATAGTCGGCCCAGTCCGACTTTTGACCTTTTCTTACTATTTCTTTTTTTATAAATTTGGTATTACAAGTCCCTAAAACACACAAAAATATACCTCTCAAATCCTGATATCGACACTTATACACATATTTTATTATTACTTTCCAAATGGTGGAGGGTATTAAAATTCGAACTTAACTGCTTTATAACTTAATTCATATAACAACACTTTAGTTATAATAAGTATACCTTGACTGCAAATTTAAATTCATTATACTCGTTTTGAGAGACAAATTAACAATGAAAATCATAAATATGGGATCTTCGCCTTAACAAGGCAAGGCTCAAAAAATAATAACGGAATTTCATTACGAAAACTTCAATTATGTCTAATCATTCAGCATGTATCCAATCCAATAAATATATTGAAAATTCCAAAAGTGAGTCGCACATATGTTTTTACAGATGTTGCTGAAATCTCTCCTTTAACACCTCAAAGATTTTCTTTCTTTTTTTTTTTCCATATTTAATTTTTACGAATCTAAAATGAATCGCAGTGCATGTTGCGGTTAATACCTTGAACGACAATCAAGACCAATCTATTTTCCCCAACATTATAATTGTTACGTTTGGTCTTTCATATATTCTAACTACCAATTTATAATATCCGGAACGCAACACGCTGGGAAAATTAGTGGTAAGAAGTTGACAATTTTCGCATATCATATTACGAGCTGTCATTGGCGAAACAAATCGATCAAATTGCGGCGCATTAGTGCAGCATTTGTCCAGTGCATCTTTTGCATATAATTTATATTCCTTATTCATTACTTTTGTCATCGGTGTTGGCGGAATGCGAAACGGCGAAAGGGCATAGGATATGCCATTTGAACTGTAGTAGACCTGTACTTCGTAGGTTTGTAAATCGGTGTCGAAATCTTGTTTCATATTGATGAAGCCACTAAAACCAAAAACACCGCGAGAAATGCGAACTTTCCTCAAAGATGTATCCAAAATATCAGGTGTGGTCGACGAAGCATTAACGTCCACGAATTCCATATTGTACTTAAAAGATTTGAAGTGAATTTATTATAAGAACACAAAATAATAAATTTCAATAGAACTCACGGCGACAGTACAGCAGAGTAAGACGGTAAAGTACATAAATAATTGTAAAGTTATAGTCATTGCAGCTTTTGTAAATTTCCGAACAATACTCTCAAAACGTCAGTTGCAAACAGGTTGGGTTTACTCTGTGCAAAAATTAAATAAGCAATTTGGTGTATACTTATAATTTGTGCATTAGTTATAATTAACAGATAAAATCATTAAATTACAATGTTGAAAGAATTTAAACATTTAAGCACTTTTATAAATAATTATTAAAATGCATTAATGACGAATTACTGTTTTCAAATTACTTCCGCCTGCGGCTAGAAAAGGGAAATTTTGATTTCAATTTTATGGGATCATTAAAAATATGGAAGCCCAATGTTAATGCTCCAATTTTGAATTTTGGATTTGACGTTATTTGCCAAAACTTTTACAAGAAGCTAGAAACTGTATTGTGTATTTTTTAATTACTTCTTAATAACAATTACTTACATTCTTTTTGGAACCTATTTATACCCTCCACCATAGTATGGAGTTTGTCATTCCGTTTGGAACACCTCGAAATGTACATTTTAGACCCCAAAAAGTATATATGTTCTTGATCAGCATAAAATTATATGTCGATCTAGCGATGTCCGTCCGTCTGTCCGTCTGTGGACATCACTCTAGCTTCCGAACGAAATGAAGTAGCTTGATAAAATTTTATTCAAATATATATTATGTCTGCAGGACTTTTGGTATTGAAAATGGACCATGTAGGTCCACGTCTTCTTCTAGCCCCCATATAACGGTACATCCCTATATGCGGTATTTTGATGATATTAGCGACATTATTCAATGGAACTGTTTTAAAATTGATATTTGAAGTTCGTAATGGATACTACAGCCTAGGACAGAAAATTGTCTGTGCATTTCCACGTCTTCGTATAGCCCCATATAACGGTACCCCCCAATATTCGGTATTTGGATGATTTTAGCGATATGATTTACCGGAACTATTTCAAATTTAGTACTTGAAGTTCGTAATGAATACTACAGCCTATGACAGAAAATTGTCTGTGCAGGTCCAAGTCTTCGTATAGGACCCATATAACGGTAGCCCCCGATATTCGGTATTTTGATAATTTTAGCGACATTGATTGCCAGAATTGTTTCAAATTCCGCATAAAATTCTAAGACGATTTAGCGATGTCCGTCTGTCTGTCCGTCTGTCTGTCTGTCTGTCTGTCTGTCCGTCTGTCTGTCTGTCTGTCTGTCTGTCTGTTGAAATCACGATAGAGCCCACATTATTTGACGTAGACCTTTGAAATTTGGCACAAGTGTGTGTATTGTCCCTAGGATGGTTGGTATTGAAAATGAGATATATCGGTCCACGTTCTGGTATAGTCCCCATATAACGGTACCTCCCGATATTCGGTATTTTGATGATTTATGCCACATTTTTTCACGGATTTATCTGAAAATTGGTATTTGTAGGTCATGACGGGTCCCTGAGCGTGTGGCAAAACATTGCATGTATAGGTCCACGTTTTGGTATAGCCCCCATATAACGGTACCTACCGATATTCGGTATTTTGATGATTTATGCCACATTTTTTCACGGATTTGTCTGAAAATTGGTATTTGTAGGTCACAACGGGTCCCTGAGCGTGTGGCAAAACATTGCATGTATAGGTCCACGTTCTGGTATAGTCCCCATATAACGGTACCTCCCGATATTCGGTATTTTGATGATTTATGCCACATTTTTTCACTGATTTGTGTAAAAGTTGGTATTTGTGGGTCATAATGGGTCCTAGTTCGTGTGGCGAAACATTGTAATTATAGGTGCACGTGTTGGTGTAGCCCCTATATAACGGTACCTCCCGATATTCGGCATTTTAATGTTTTTTGCCACATTTCTTCTAATGTTCTTTTACCCTAGGGTGGAGGGTATTAAAAGTTTGGCCCGGCCGAACTTAATGTTTTTTTACTTGTTTTTTAAATTACTTCTTAATAAAAATTACATATATTCTTTTTGGAATCTTTTTTATACCCTCCACCTTGGAAAGGAGGGTATATTAACTTTGTCATTCCGTTTGTAACATCCTTAAATATTCGTCTTAGACCCCATAAAGTATATATATTCATAATCAGCATAAAATTCTAAGTCGATTTAACGATGTCCGTCTGTCTGTCTGTCCGTCTGTCTGTCTGTCCGTCTGTCTGTCTGTCTGTTGAAATCACGATACAGCCCACATTATTTGACGTAGAGCTCCAAAATTTAGCAGAGCTATTTGCATTGTGTCAAGGATGGTTGGTATTGAAAATGAGATATATCGGTCCACGTTCTGGTATAGTCCCCATATAACGGTACCTCCCGATATTGGGTATTTTGATGATTTATGCCACGTTTTTTCACGGATTTGTCTTAAAATTGGTATTTGTAGGTCATAGCAGGTCCATGAGCGTGTGGCAAAACATTGCATGTATGGGTCCAAAATTTGGTATAGCCCCCATATAACGGTACCTCCAGATATTCGGTAATTTGATGATTTTTGCAACATTTTTTCACGGATTTGTCTGAAAATCGGTATTTGTTGGTCATAATGGGTTCCAGCTCCGGTGGCGAAACATTGCATGTATGGGTCCATGATTTGGTATAGCCCTCATATAACGGTACCTCCCGATATTCGGTATTTTGATGGTTTTTGCCACATTTTTTCACTGATTTGCCTAAAAATTTGTATTTGTGGGTCATAATGGGTCCTAGTTCGTGTGGCGAAACATTGTAATTATAGGTCCACGTTTTGGTATAGCCCCCATATAACGGGACCTCCCGATATTCGGTAATTTGATGATTTTTGCCACATTTTTTTCACGGATTTGTCTGAAATTTGGTATTTGTTGGTCATAATTGGTTCCAGCTTCGGTATCGAAACATTGCATGCATGGGTCCATTATTTGATATAGCCCCCATATAAAGGTACCTCCCGATATTCGGTATTTTGATGGTTTTTGCCACATTTTTTCACTGATTTGTCTAAAAATTGGTATTTGTCGGCCATAATGGGTCCTAGTTCGTGTGGCGAAACATTGTAATTATAGGTCCACGTTTTGGTGTAGCCCCCATATTACGGTACCTCCCCATAATCGGCATTTTAATGGTTTTTGCCACATTTCTTCTAATGTTTATTTTACCCTAAGGTGGAGGGTATTAAAAGTTTGGCCCGGCCGAACTTAATGTTTTTTTACTTGTTTCTTTTTTTATACTGCCCTAAGTGTTCGGAATAGAAATGTCAATTTTCAAAATATTGTATTTGAAAATAAAGAAAGCATCGTCGACCCGCTGAAACCTGAGAATACACAACACTTGTTGCGACAAATCAGCGACCTAATCTAATTATCCAAATAAATAATTATAGTTAGTACAGGGTCTGCCAGATAAAATTTTATTTCGAAAATGCTACAAAAAAAAAAAAAAAAAAAAAAAAAAAATCTGCTGTATATTTTACCAAAATTCTTCTTTTATTTTAAAAGTATAATCTTTCTGGTTAATAATGGACAATCACAACAACGTGGACCTGCATAGCCTATTTTTGTCATAAGCCATTACAGTATTCAAGTGCAAAACTTGACCATCAAATCAGCAATACAGTTATAGGGTGGAGAATCCATTACGAACTTCAAATACCAATCTTGAAACAATTTCGGTGAATAATAACGCTAAAATCACCAAAATACCGAATATAGGCAGGTATAGTTATATCGGGGCGAAGTTGACACGCTCGACTTTTGTAATTTTCTTACAGATTTTATTTACATTTGATTCTTGGAACTTTTTCTAACATTCTATACACTTCTTACCAATTTATATTTTTTCACCTTTAACGTGGAATATTGAAAGCGAAATTACCCAATACCGTAGAAAAATACTAAGCACTGGTGCAGGTAAATGACTAATACAATTTCTTCCCATCATTATGGATTTTCTGACGAAAAAAATTCTTAGAACTACATAAAAAGTTTAGACGTGTATTGAGCTCATAAAAGGGTCACTTTCCTTATCCAAACAGCTCAAATATTGTAGCTATTGTTGTTAATTATATTAACCGTCCATATCTGTTCCGCTATATACCATGCAGGTGGGGTGTACAATTACGTGCTATGTTTACGGTGCTGTACAGGTTCAATACTGGCGGCATTGTTTCTTCTGTTTAACAAACAAAAACAAATGTTGTTTTATTAAGTGATATACAATTTCCAATTAAGGAACCGCTAAATATCTATTTATGACTGCCTTTTTTGATCCGTTCAATAGATACTCATTGCACACCGCTGGCTCAGTGTTGTGTGTGAGTGTGTGTGGTGCCGGAAAACCAAATTCATTCAATCGACAAAAATTAATTAATTTCGGACAATTTTATGTTTATTCAAAAATAAAAAAGAGTTATGTTTACGATTATGAATGAAACTGCTTTTCTGGGTCGTTATTTGAAACCAGAATCACAATAAAAACGTAAATGGAAAAAATGAATTTGGTAATAGAAATTGTGGTCAGCTCGCAGAACAACAACAGCGGAGAGTGCAAACAGATTTGTCATCCATGTATTTAAATTATTTGTAGTGGATAAAGTGAGACACAGTTGGATTTATATATATATATATATATATATATATATATATATATATATATATATGTATATATATATATATATATATATATATATATATATATATATATATATATATATATATATATATATATATATATTCGTCCTATTTGCTTTTTGTTATGCACCAAACTTGTAATATCAGCTCAAATAGTATGGAATTGGTTATATACAACCGAATTAAGCCTGAAAATAAATATGCCAAAATTAATCTACATCGGTTCAGATATAGCTATAGCTTCCATATATATTGTTCATCCAATTTGTTATTTTTGTCCTCCACAACCGTAATATGCACTCCGTAACAACGATATTCGGGGAAACATATCAAATACAGCTCAGAAATACCTTCTACATATTTTATCAAGATCGGTTCAGATTTGGATATAGCTCCCATATATACCTTTATTCGATTTTAAGTTAATTGCGCCCCACTTGGTTAATATAAGTCCCAATTGAAAAGGCACAAATACCTCAACAAA